TGGTGAAGGATTGGAAAATCCCATCCGGAATCCTCTTCGGTAGTGTCAACAGACGTGCAGTGTGTTGGTTGATGAGGGGGATCTGTTAGGCGCCGTTTTTTAGCTGCATCCAGTCGATCCCTTTAGGCTGGACTAGTGGTTCTTCACATAAGGGAAATTGAGAAGGGAACTGCCCCACTTCACATTAAAAAATATTTTGACGTGACCAATCTCAGAGTTGGTAACTTGAAGCTGGGAATGCGTCCTATAAATGTTCCAAAGGTAATCTATATTCCTTAATAAAGGTATAAAGGTACCTAAGGTATGTTCCTAAGACCTAGAAGGTAACAATCTAATAAGTAATTCTTGGGGTTGATGCAGATGCAGATCGGACGTCCTGCCGGCACCTAGGTGGATAAATAGTGAAATGCTCCTTGTTCACCTCATCAGACTCAAAACCCAGAGATGCAATGAACAGATTGTGACAGGTTCTATTTCTAAAAGAATATCGTTTGCATCTTTCTCCCCTCTTCATCCTTAATTCTCCATTGTACTTCGAAGGAGTTCAAAAATGGTCGTATCGAAATAACCACCGCACTAATGAGCTTTCCTAAAAGCAACGGTCTCCTTTTCAAATGAGCGAACGCGGGGGAGCCAAAAGGCCGACCAGCTGCAGGGTCTCTTGGGACGTGCGTAACACTTGGAGATGTGCGATTAATTCGGCGCGGCGGCGGCGTGGCGTGACGCAGCATTCCTGTTCGCTCGCGGCGGCGGCGGCTGAGAACGAAGCATTGAAACGCTCGTCGCGTCGCATCGCGTCTTCGGAAGGGAATTCGGAGGCTGAGGAGCGAATGCTGTCCTTGCGAAGCAACTGCCACAAACGCTCGCCGCAGCTCATAGGCGGATCCAGCGGGCACCGTCCAAATCATTTTGATGTTTAATTCTGACTCAAATTTTTCAATACAATAATCACAAGTTTATTGCATTGCACTCCAAACGAGAGCTCATAAGTTATAACTGCGCATCTTTATTCGAAGCCAACACCTTAAAAATATTTATTATTTGAAAGATATATATAACTTTTTCAAACTATTTCATTTCAAACTATCAATATAGTTTTTAAGATATAAATTTAAATTTCCTCTGTTCGGAAAGAACATAAGAAACGGATAGCATTTTCTAATTAAATATTACTTTCTGGCCGCCTGCTATACATATAAATTTTTTAAAAGTCTTGAAAATATTCGATCTAATTTTAGAGAGTTTTAGTAAAAAGTAACATCATGAAAGAGGATTTTATAAGTTATGTTGGAAAATCGAAATAAGCAAACGATTAGGATAATTGAAAATATTTAAATGCTGAATAACTTAGACAATTCGTACGTGTTTGCTATTTCTTGTTTTCTCTTCAATTATATGAATTCTGACTAAAGTGATTTTGGAGATGGACGCTCTGCGTTTGTTGTCGTTGGAACCGTCCAGCGTGGCCTGTACGTTCTAGAAGCGCAACTCGGCTGGAGAGAAGAGAGCGTGTGAATGTGCACGCGCGCCCCGAGCCTAAAAACGCGCGTGCGTCTCTTTCTTTTTTGGCGCAGCAGGGTGGTGCAGCGCGTTGCGTGCGCGCACGAGACGGCGTTGCGTCACGCGCCGTCGGGAGGGCCCGTCGCGTCGCGCAAAAAACGCGCGTGTACGCACGAACACACGCGGCGCGGCGTTGGCCCAGGCGCGTAGAGGAGAGAAGGGCGGGGGCGGTGTGGAGAATTGGGTGGATTGGGGGTAGATGTCGGAGGGGCGCGTAGGAGGCGGATGGTGTGGATAGGCGGATGGCGCGGGTAAGACGCGGTAGGGAGGCAGAAGTCGGAGGAGGCAGCTAGGTGGCACAGTGGGCGGTTAGGAAGCTTAGGGAGCGCGAAGGTGGCGGAGGGGACGGGTTGAATTGGGAAGGGTGGTAGGAGGCGGAGGGGCGGGTAAGAGGCTGAGAGATCGGGTCGGAGGGGAAAGAGTGATAGGAGGCAAAAGGAAGTAGAAGGCGGAGGGGGTACGAAGGAGGCGCGTAGAGAGTGGAGGGAGACGGGTAGTAGACAGAAGGGAGTTTGGAGGCGAAGGGTGGCAAAGGGGGGAGGGGCATAGGAAGTGTGGGATGAAGGAGGCAAAGAGGACAGGTATACAGGTGGAGATGTGAGGGAGGACGGAAGTGGAGGAGGGGGTGTGTATGGGGATTAGGGAATCGACCCAAGGTGTGTGAGTGACGGAGACGNGGGGCGGTGTGGGTGCGGCGACAGAGGTAGACGGCGGCGAGGACGGGCGGCTGCGTGCGTCTACGCGCTCGAACAGTCACTGCCCTGCCCCGACACGGAGCTCAAAGACGGCATCGCTGAGGCCCACACTTTGTTTTACTTTCGAATTGTCATTAATTGTACTACCATTGGAATTATCTTAAACAGCCGAAATTATGGACTATGTCATTAGTCCAGCCAAGTATTATCAACAAAATTTCCCAACTGTCACATGTAATTTTACCTATCATTCACAAGGAAACAGATCTGACCTTCATTTAACATAAACGCACAAGAGATGTGCAATCATTTATTTTAAGTTTAATTTGTTATTTTTCTCATCTAGCTTTTAAGATTGAAGAAGCTTTCTCACATATGTAATTCATGTATTTATATATACTAGTACATCAAAGTTACTCGTTTCACGAATTAATGAATTCTGCGCACTGGCGATTTTTTAGTGTTAGTTTAGGAGATTATATTGTTTTCTTTTAATTTTCCCAAGTCATTCTTTTGATTTTTATTAGCCTTATAATTTTGTGATGTTACAATTTCTTTAACAAGGGTTGTCACTTAACAATGCACAGTATCGTTAACCAACTGGCGAGGGACGGAGAATTCTCTGGGGGGGGGGGGGCGTTGGAGGGACTGCGTACGTGGAACAAGATAATATCATCGACGATGCGACATCAATGTCGATGTTTTTGTAGAAACATCGATGAATTAACACCGATTTTTTTCATCGATGTTTTGTAATCGGTGTTTTTCGTTTTCCGATGTGTTGTTTCTGAATGAAAAATTCCGTGATCACAATACTGTCAAAGTCAATATGAAATAATTACTCATAGCACTGTTATTTATGTGTTGGAACCAAAGGAACGCTGTTTGCACTACCTTCATCGATCAAACTCTCTCGCCCGAGATGACCTCCATTGTATTTACTATTCTTTCATATTCGTTTCGCACATTCATACATGGTCAACAAATACGCTGTGGGCGTAGGGTTTACCCCTTCTTCTCGTACCCTCATTCGGCGAATTGATAAAGATGAAACACTGTGAAATTAAATTTTAATGCACACTAATTTAATGTTAGAGATTACTAATTCAGTCTAAAAAAACATTGATAGTTTTTAGTCGATGTATTTTTAATGTTGATGTTTTAATATTGATCATCGATGTTTGCTAACATCGATGTTTTGTTATTGATGTCGCACCACTAATACAAACCCAGGGGGAATTCAGAACTACAATCAATCGCCACAGACGCTGTGACCGCTCAGGCAAAGACACCCTCAACAGAACGGACTGGCTTCAAATCCTTGATACTATTTACCACTTCAAGAGAAAGAAATGATATACAGAAACAAATGTGAATTTTAATTCATCTGTCTTTGACTGATTGAAGTATCCGAGCACGTAAGAGGTAGACCCGTTAATGTTTTTAAAACCTCTATATTTTCGAACAGAAACATCGATATTATAACATCATTGTTTTGCTTACGATGTTTTCTTAATCCATTAGTGCTCAGTGTTACCATCCGATAACGACATTTCCGCCAACGGCTCGGCGGGGTGTTTCAATGTGCAATAATTTGCGAATTTTATTTCTTCAGTAGACATAGACATTGCCGTGTTTGGTATCTAGGCGTGTAAGTGTAAGTGTAGTGTAGTGCATGTAGTGCAAGGAAGAGGAAGATCGCGAGCAACGAGCGATAGTTTGTTAGGGCACCGCTCTGGCATTGTTACGAGAAACCACGGAAAACTTCCAGCCAGAGCGGCCGGGCGCTAGAATTCTCCTCTAGGCAGCAAATGAATTCGACCTATCTAGCTAGTTTCGTTAATCTCCTACAGTCGGGACGTGAAACCAAGGTTCTTCCGGTGAGAACCTCTGCTGAGACAACGGCAAAAATGGCTCTGCGATAACTTTGTTCATGATTGTGCTTTCAATAAAGAGCTATGAGTCGCCAAGTATTCCCGCCATGCTCTATTAGCACAACTAATGATGGGAAATAATGAGAGGTGAAGTTTTCCTTCATTGCCGCTGCAACAGGCAAAAGCATTGTTCTCGCGGAAGCCACAAGGTAGCTATAGAATGTGGTACGGAGGAGAATTTGCCGCTGAGAAGCTGAGAAGAGATATAAGGTCAATCGAAGTTATAAATGGAATTTTTAATACTGCGTTTTTAATACTGTGATATGAGTTAGGGCTTTTCGTCACATTTTCAGTCAATTTTGCATCATCTAGTATTTTTATAGAATGGGTGGGTAGTACGGTTTAAAGTAAATATTGCGCAGAAAGTAAAAGTGAAAACTCTTAATCTGAAAATAATTAGTTGCTTGTAACCAAAGCTGTGTACTAAGTCACTGAGCAGCACAACCCATAAGACCTATGAGACAGTAACATTAATATTGTTCATTATATTACAGTTTTAAATTATCGTACAAAGCAGTAACCAGTCTGTGTAATATGGTTTATAAGTGCAGCACAACCAATAATGTTTCATTTGGTTAAAATCAGTGTGTATTTTGTTTGCAGAAACACTGCAAGACATTCCCTGCAATGCGACCAAGAGGTAGGTAGTTAAATGCTTCGAATTTATTTCACATTCTAATTTTAATTGTTCTAATAATTCTAATAATTATTAGTTAACTAATATCATGTTTTGTTTTTGCAGTTGACCTCTTCAAATTCAAAATCTTACAGGAAGGATATAGTGAGGTGTCCACGGAAAGGTTCTGGCTTTTCAAGTTCTTGTGTCTCTTCCCCTAAATGTCCTCATTTCATTCATCACGGTACACCTGCGGCCTTCGATCCTCCTGGATTTGTTTGTTCAAATTCTCCTTTACCATCAGAGTCTTCTCGACTCACCAGAACAGCTGTTCCTCTACTCTCAGGTCCTCCTGGGTTCACCCATGCAAATGCTCCTTCACCTTCAGATTCTGCTGGATTCATTCACTCACGTGCTCCTTTACTGCCAGATCCCCATGGGTTCGTTCCTACGCCATCAGGCCTTGCTGGATTCGTTCATTCAACTGCATCTCCGTCATCTGCTGTAACACACTTACCACGTCCAAGAGCCCCACTGGACAATGGACTGCGTGCGGCTGCATTCCAGTCATCTGCACCTACAGGCTTCGTGCAGACAAATGCATATCCAATTTCCAGTGCTCAAAATCCTGATTACTCAAAAGTAGTGACTCTTGCAACTATTCCAGGATTTCCTTTCGATAAACCTCCACCATCAATTCCTCCAGCTGCAACATGTTTAGGCACATCCTTATTTTCTTCGGTCCCAGCATCACAACCATCTTCATTCTTCGTTTCATCACAAGTCTCGACTGCATACTCCCCCTCAATTTCTCCACACTTCTTTCCAAGAAATGCACCTCTAAATGTCCATCCCCAGTTCTCGTCTGCTCAGGCACTTCGCTCAACTTCACCGCAGTCCACATCCTATCCTGGTTATGTTCCATTTGCTCATCTCCGTCAAAAGACTGTGCAGTTACCAAATTCACTATCATGGCAACCGTCTCTGCCTCCACATTCACCACATCAATCTCCAATACAATCACAATTACTGTCAAAACCACCTACTCCTCAAGTATTTCCTCCCTTGCCCATAATCCCGCCACCCTCACCTCCCCCACTTCCTGATTCTCCTCCTCCGGCCTCGTCCTCAATATCATCGTTGGGGCATTACTTCTCAACAGTGCAGTCATCATCCCCAAAGCCGTTAAATCCGCCGCCACCAGTGTGTCTATCGTCACCGCCACTAATTGCACCAGGAACTGTACCACCACCAGCATCACCACAAACACCATCATCACTTGCATCACCACTTCCTTCATCACTGACATTTCTATCTCCACCACCACCACAACTACCTCCACCAACTTCCACAGCTTCGTCACCACCAGTATCACAATCATCACTGCCACTTGCAACACAATCTCCAACAATTCACTCGTTACTCCCACCTGCACCACAATTAAAATTCTGCACATCAACAAAAGATGTTTTATCTCTAAAACCACTTGCTTCACCACCACTATCATCACAGCTATTATTGTCTCCATGTTCACCACCTTCACACCCACCATCTGCACGTTCACCACATCCATGCCCACCATTTCCTGCTTATTCACCACCTCCATCATCAAGCCCACCATCACCTGCTAATCCAGCATCACCAAGCTCAGAATCACCAGCATATTTATCACCACCTACACCATCAACAAGTCCACCATCACCCGCGTATTCACCACTAGCGCCACGTCCACAATCACCTGAATGTTCACCACAACCACCACCACCACGAACCCCATCACCTGATTATTCCCAACCACCAAGTCCACCATTACCTGCAAATTCATCAGAGCCACGTTCACTATCTCCTGCTTATTCACCACCTCCATTACCAAGCCCACCATCACCTGCTTATTCAGCATCACCAAGCCCACAATCACCAGCATATTCATCACCATCACCTGCATTTTCACCACTATCACCACGTCCACCATCACCAGCATATTCCTCACCATCACTGCCTCTCTGTTCACCACCAATAACTTTCC